GAGCCATATTTGCATCCATACAGCAGACAGGCAACAGAAAAGTACCGCACTTCAGCCGCCAGGTGGCAGCACAGACCGTGGGAAAAGAGCCACCCTGCGCATGCGCGGGGCCGCAGCGCCCGGCGCCCGCAGCACCTTCAAAATTCTTTTCTGATTCTTCTCAGAATGAGAAATGACTGCTACCTCAGCGCCGTTTAGACCACCCAAAGGCGGCAACTACTGACTGCGGGGGGCCCAAGAGCAGGGCTTATATTGCTCTGCCCTCTTACCACTCGCAGCCCACGCGGCGCGGTGTGCGTTGCTGCTGTTGCCAGAAGCATCCCAGCAGCTCGAATGTGGCAGCTCCGAGCAGCATTCGGCTGCTTCGAAAGCCTGGGCACTCTTTCTGTCCGTGTCCCCATCCCCATTACCTTGGAAGCAGAAGCAGCACAAGGAACTGCTAACGGGTTTTCTTTTTTCCCTTTGCAGTAAGCCCCCGGCACCGCTGTATTGGTCTGCACGTACGTAACAGCGCGCAGCTGTGCTCGCAAGATTCATTTCACCTACGCCACGTGTTCCTGGTTTCAGTGAAGGTAGATGCTGAAGCTTGAAACTGAAAACCGCATCTTGACACTTCACCACAGAACAAGTGATCCGTAACTGGAACCCTACCAAAATGCAGTAACACAAATTGCAAACCCCCAGCAGCAACAGCTTCAGAAAAATTGAGACCAGCAACAAGGGCGAAAAAGAAAACAGCTTCATCTCACGCACAGGAAAGCGGCAGACAAAGGGTGGGCATTTAGAGCCTTTACAGAAAACAGGCATTCTCCTTCCGTTCCTAAACCCATCTCTTAGGTCTGAGTATTGCAACGCTACTACGGCAATACTGATGCTTCAATTGGTCAGGTTCACCTGGCACACTTGAAAAACAGGAAAGAAGTTGCCATGCAAATCCAGTACCCCGGCGTCACCCAGAGCACAACACTGATGTTAACAACCTGATGACTGTCCTGAGCGTGAGCAATATTGTCCCTGAAGGGTTGTTCCCTGAGCATTTGATTGAAGTCCTTAGCAGAGAGCTGGCCCTGGAGTGTGACTACCAGAGACAGGCTGCCTGCACAAGGAAGTTCCAGGAGCTGCTGAAAGACCACCCCTTCTTTTATGTCCCGAGAGTAGTGGATGAGCTGTGCAGCAAGCATGTTCTGACCACAGAGCTGGTGCCTGGCTTCCCCTTGGATCAAGCTGTAGGGCTGAGCCAGGAGATTCGAAATGAGATCTGTCACAATGTCCTGGTCCTGTGCCTGCAGGAGCTGTTTGAGTTCAGGTACATGCAGACTGACCCAAACTGGTCAAACTTCTTCTATGACCCACAGTTGCACAAGGTGGCCCTGCTGGACTTTGGAGCAACACGAGGCTTTGGTGAGAAGTTCACAGACGTCTACATAGAGGTAATCAAGGCAGCTGCTGACACAGAGAGAGAGAGAGTACTGAGCAAGTCCACTGAAATGAAATTCCTCACTGGCTACGAAGCCAAGGAAATGAAAGATGCACACTTAAATGCTGTCCTCATCCTGGGACAGGCTTTTGCGTCTGAGGAACCTTTCAATTTTGGCAACCAAAGCACCATTGAAAAGATCCACACTTTAATCCTAGTCACACTGAAGCATCAGCTTGTCCCTCCACCACAGGAGACCTACTCTCTTCATCGGAAGATGGGGGGTTCTTTCCTTATCTGCACCAAACTGAAGGCCAAAATTCCCTGCAAAAACATGTTCCAAGAGGCGTAGAGCAAATATTGGAGCAGTAGGGGCAAGAAGCCAGAGGAGTAGTAAGAATGAAAATTATACTTTTAAATAAAAAAATTAAAAATAAAAAACCCACAAGGTCAGGTTGGATGGGGCTCTGAGCAACCTGATCTGGTTAAAGCTGTCCCTGCTCACTGCAGGGGGGTTGGGCTAGATGGCCTCTAAAGGTCCCTTCCAACTCAAAGCATTCTATGATTCTATGATTCTATGAGAGCAGGGAACAACGGCCCCGCCACTGCACAGCCTATCCTCCCATGCTATTTACGTAGCAGGACGCACAGACCTATTTTTCCACACATGACCTTGGCTTCCCCAAAGAATTTACGCTTACCAAAAATAGCCATTTGGAACACATTGCCAAACAACATTGTGCCAGGTATGTCAGGCTCGTAGGCAGGCCAGGTGAAGCCAGAGCCATGTTCTTTCTGGTGCTGTGGATGCACTGCCAAGGGAGGGTGAGGGCCGGCAAGAGCTTTGGGTGCTGGCACCTTTGACGTGGGAGGAATCCCCGGACGTTCGCAGTGTCGGAGGTGGGCTTGGGCAAAAAATGTGTCCGAGTGTGCCAGCTATGTCGGGGCCTTACACAGGCCAGGTGAAGCTGGAGCCCCAGTCTTTGTGGTGCTGTGGATGCACTGCCAAGGGAATGTGAGGGCCGGCAAGAGCTTTGGGTGCTGGCACCTTTGACGTGGGAGGAATCCCCAGACGTTCACAGTGTCAGAGATGGGCTCCAGCAAAAAACAGGACTGAGTGTGCCAGCTATGCTGGGGCCTTACACAGGCAAGGCAAAGGCAGAGCCCCAGTCTTTGTGGTGCTGTGGATGCACAGCCAAGGGAAGGTGAGGGCCGGCAAGAGCTTTGGGTGCTGGCACCTTTGGCGTGGGAGAAATCCCTGGATGTTTGCAAGGTCGGAGGTGGGCTCAGGTAAAAATGGGACCGAGCGTGTGAATTATGTCGGGGACTTACGCTGGCCAGGTGAAGCCAGAGCCCCGGTGTTTGTGGTGCTGTGGATGCACTGATAAGGGAGGGTGAGGGCCAGCAAGAGCTTTGGGTGCTGGCACCGTTGGCATGGGAGGTCTCCCTGGACGTTCGCAGTGTCGGATGTGGGCTTGGGCAAAAAACGTGTCCGAGTGTGTCAGCTATGTCAGGGCCTTACGCAGGCCAGGTGAAGCTGGAGCCCCGGTCTTTGTGGTGCTGTGGAAGCGTCACCAAGGCAGGGTGAGGGCTGGCAAGAGCTTTGGGTGCTGGCACCTTTGGTGTGGGAGGAATCCCCGGACGTTCACAGTGTCAGAGATGGGCTCCAGCAAAAAACGGGACTGAGTGTGCCAGCTATGCTGGGGCCTTACACAGGCAAGGCGAAGGCAGAGCCCCAGTCTTTGTGGTGCTGTGGATGCACCGCCAAGGGAGGGTGAGGGCCGGCCAGAGCTTTGGGTGCTTGCGCCTTTGGCATGGGAGAAATCCCTGGATGTTTGCAAGGTCGGAGGTGGGCTCGGGCAAAATAGACTACCAAATGTGCTAGTGATGTCAGGGTGTACGCAGGCCAGGTGAAGCCACAGCCCCAGTCTTTGTGGTGCTGTGGATGCAGCGCCAAGGGAGGGTGAGGGCAGGCAAGAGCTTTGGGTGCTGGCACCGTTGGCATGGGAGGACTCCCCAGACATTCGCAGTGTCGGAGGTGGGCTCGGGCAAAAAGCACTACCGAGCGTGTGAGCGATGTCAGGGCCGTATGCCGGCCAGGTGAAGCTGGAGCCCCGGTCTTTGTGGTGCTGTGGATGCAGCGCCAAGGGAGGGTGAGGGCCGGCTAGAGCTTTGGGTGCTGGCACCTTTGGCGTGGGAGGAATCCCCGGACGTTCGCAGTGTCGGAGGTGTGCTCGGGGAAAAAAGAGGACCGTGCATGCAAGAGACATCGGGGCCTTACGCAGGCCAGGTGAAGCCGGAGCCCCGGTCTTTGTGGTGCTGTGGATGCACTGCCAAGGGAGGGTGAGGGCCAGCCAGAGCTTTGGGTCCTTGCGCCTTTGGCGTGAGAGAAATCCCCAGACGTTCACAGTGTCGGAGGTGGGCATGCGCAAAATAAACTACCAAATGTGCTAGTGATGTCGGGGCGTACGCAGGCTGGAGTACTCCTCCTCCCCTTGGAAGTGTCATATCTAAGTGGAAATGTAGTAATTGGGGCATGTAAAACATTTCACTACAGCTCAGCTGACTGAGAAATGCAGCTTGCTCTCTGCTGCATTTGACTTGCTTGCTTCATTTAAAGTCTCTTTTAAAAAAAAAAGAACTTTTGTTTCTGAAGGGATGAGCCAAGATGAAACCTAC